AAGGCTTAGCTAGATCGAAGCCAAAATAGTCAGCCAGCAAGGGTTGCGTGCTCATTTTATTTACTATTATTATTATTTTTATTATTTATTATTATTAATACTGTCTATTATTACTATTATTATCATTATTATTATTACTACTATTATTATCACCGTTGTTATTGTTGCCATTGTTTTCACTGTTATTATTACCATTATTATTAATATTATTACTGTTATCACTGTTCTTACATTATTATTACTCTTATTATTACTACTGTCACTGATATTATTATCACAGTTATTATAGCCATTATTATTACTATCATTATTATCGCTACTACCATTTTTATTGCTATTATTATAGCTTTTCATCATTATTTCTTTTCTAATTTTGCTTTTTAATGTTTCATGCACTTTCTACCTTTTTACTTCTCCGAATTTCCATCACACTTCATTGCGGTCTGTTATTTGATGTTAAATTTGTTATTGAGTTGCATAATCTGTAGACTAGTTGATTAATTTATTTTACTGTACCCGGTTGCATCTCGTGGTTCTAGTGCTTCCACATTTCCTTGGCAGTGTAGAGTAGCACTATAGCTGTAGGAGCGGTAGTACCACTTCAGTAACACGCTAGACAAGCGTTGTTTCACAAAACAGCCGAACAAAGCTCTTAGGAAGCATGCTGATGATGTTAGTGCTTAGGGGCTCATGGGCTAGACGAATTAGTGGTGTTCACACAATATGGGGACAGAAGTGCTCTTACGCTTAGCCATATTATTCATATACCGCCAGTCCATTCATTCACTGCTTTCTTTAAAATGTTCCACCACTCCACAGTGCATCCATCTTCTTCCCCCCTCATATCCTCTCCATTTTCTTGTCCATCACTAGCGTCTTTAGTGATTCAATCAAAAAAAGTTAGTTTTCCCAAGCAGAATAGCCCGGACTATCGCTCACTCAGAGCCCTCGATGTTGCAGAGCCGCAAAGCACATGCCCGAGACTCATCTAGCACTCATTTCACAATGCTCGTCCGCATTCAGTATGACTAATGCTGAGCATTAAAACACTTCCCTTGGATTTGTGCATTTCCTGGATAGTCATAGTTTTTAAACAAATTGATGTCCTTCTGGTCTGCGTAATCAAAATTCTGCGAAAAAGAATTGATTAACGTCTTTTGTTTGTTTGTTAAAATTTCATAAAAATTGCTGACAGACATGGCACAGTAGCTGGAGCAGCTGGAGGATCCTGCAGCAGCTGGAGGACCCGACCCTACCAGTCGAGGATTAGACTCGGCCGATGAGACAACCAACCCTTCTACGATTCATTCATTCGCTTCGAAAAACTGACACTGGCATGCGCCAGGAAAACTCGTCATCAGCTGCTTGTAAGCAATCCTCGAAAGTAGGAACCAGCAATTATCTCTGTGGTTGCAGTTGGCATTTGCTACCGTTTGGACTACTTTCCGATTGCCTCCGTTTCTTAAATAGAACAAATGCGGAGGGGGTTTTAGCAGCGAGAAAAGCAATAAAAGTAAAACACACCTAATCTAAGTTTTTAAATTTTACTAATTTTTCCGGAAAAATAAAGATTTACGGTATGTTTGCTAAAAAATGATACTTGCAGCGCTCAGCCCATCTCATTTCCTCGCCGCTTTGCCATATCTTGCTATTCGAAACGCGTTTAGTCCGAGATCGGTTTCTGTGAATTCGAATTCATTTACATCCACGTATTTCACTTATAATTTATTCTGTTTTTAATAGAAAGTCAAAATCTTGCTTCTTTAAAATTTGCAAAAAGTTTCATTTTGAAATATCTAAATTTTTTACCTCTGTCGTCGTTTTTTTTTTTATAATATTTCAAATGCTTGGATTATCATAACTGTCTGGGCGTTCTGTTTAAACATGCGATGTTGCTGACGTAACTGAAATGCGCCTATACCCCTATGCTAAGCCTTTTAATCCCAAATTGCGTTTCTCTAATTTTTTGTGCGCACTTAGCTTCTCGGAGGCCGTTAAAGCTATTATGAGTACCATTGATATTTTAAATGCAAAATCAAATCTTCGTGACGATTTTTTCGAAAAATTCGGCTTTCGGCGCATTTTATGAGCACGTAGTTGAGTTTGTGTGCAATATTTGCGTAGTTCCAGGTCAAGAATCAGCAAAGCAGAATTAGTTATATGCCTTTTGCTCTTTTTTGTGTGGTAGATTAAGTCATCACATGCTTTTTCTACTTTACATAAGTTTTTTGTACTGTCTGCGTGGTGAAGTGTACGCAAGCAAACACACACGTGCACACACATCCCCAGTACACTTCCAGATTCCGTAAATTGTACACAGTTGAAAAAAATATACACATTCAAAGTGCACTGTACAGGATTTGCCGTTCGAACGTTTTTGTCCCCTATCTCTGGACTACATCTCTGACGCATACTTTCGTTGAGCGTTATCGCCCTGTGCTTACGAGTTTTCCCAAGTCCTTCAGGAATACTGTTGTGTGCGGAATTCTCGGTGTTTCTGCGGTGCAGCCCTGTTAGATCTTTCTGTTCCGGGTTAACTGTGTCAAATTACTGTCGGTCGCATCCCCTGTACTTATGCGGGCATCCATTCATCGAAGTTCGTTTTTTGTCTTGAACATGTCATTCACTGATGCAACACTTTCTACATTTATTGGCAGTGAGAGCAACTCTTGCTTCTATTTTTCCAGGAACGCATTAAGTTCCTTGTGATGGAGTATTTTTTGCACTGGAAATAATGAACCTCCCTAACTTACACACCATGCAAGCGAAGAAATGCATTGAATATGAAAGTCG